ATTTGAATTTAAGAAATAAATTAACTAAAATGCTAATAAAGAAAATATTATTTAAAAAATGAAAATAAAATAAATAAATGAAGAAAACTTTCTAGTTCACGGTTCCGTCTACACCCTCGACTGACTCGTGTAATCAACTTTGGTATCAAATCTCGTTATCTTATGAAATTACTAGCCCTAGGCAACGACACGGTCTGTTACCCGAATTTTTCCTTATTTTTAATCTAACCGCGAGACGCTCTACGATTAAATCTGACCTCTTGAACAGTCTAAGAAACGCTTCCAAAATTTAATTCAATTAGCCGCTTTACGAATTAGAAAAATAGGCTAGACTAAGTAGTAACGCATTCGTTCACTTGAATAGGTCGTGTTATCCCCGGTAGTTACCATCTTCCGGATACCACTTGCGAATTAAGCACATCAACAATTACGGATTGAAGGCCTAATTCAGGTGTAGATATGAAAAGCCTAATCTAGGTGATCAATCTAAATAAGACTCAACACATCATGGTTAATTATTCAAAATAACACAAACAATTCCAAAAAGATAACTCAATAATCAACCACGTAAATCAATTAAACATCATCAAGTACGTAGAGTTCGACATCCCCGGAACTAGAAATAAAATTAGCCTAACATAATAAATAAAAAGAAATACTAGATAAAAGAGAGAGATTAATTATCTCCCTTGTGTACGGGTGCGGTCTCCCTCCGCGATTCGTCGAGCTCTCGTGTCTCTGTCCTGTATTCTGCTCCGTTCTCTTCCTTTTCTCTGCGTTCTCAAATAAATATGCTTTCTTTTAATTGTCTGGCGGCTCCTTGCGCACGTTAATGTTCTCCCAATAAATACTATCCTCCCAGGTAAATAAATCCCCCCACGCGTGGTAATCCCGAAATCATAAAAATCCCACTTTGCAATCTCCCGCAAGTAAACTCCTCTCTCCAACAATTATTTTCCAAATATATTTCTGTCTCCAAGCACTCACGGATGATGCCCATTTAATTTCACTTTATTGGGCCCAAATAATTCAACTTTATTTTTGGCTCAAATTCTTCTCTTCTTGCCATTACCTAACACTACGGGTCCTATCCATTGAAATCTCCGAATATTCTTCAAAATGCTGAATATAGATAATAAAATATCAAAGTATATGAATTTATCCAAATAATAAATAAGTCGAAAAAACCATAAACGTGCGAATAAATTAAGTGTATAAAAATACACTATTAAATATATAAACGTGCACATTTTTCGACCAGTCAGTGGCCGTCTTCGGGAGTTTGAACAATCTTGTTTTGGACATTTCTTGAGGTTTGATGGGCAAGCATACTACAGTGGGAGACTACTACTTGACTTACTTGGTCGAGAGGTTTTTCTCCGTGACGCTCGAGAGAAGGAGCGTTGGTTTTGAATTGGAGGTAATAATTATAAGTTCGGGAAAGTCAAATTTTTCCAAATCAGTGGCTTGATGTTTGGTGGGTCGGAATTTATCCCCGAGGAGAATTAGAGTTTGCCGGCCATTGATGGGATATATCGACGCAACTACGATGGCAAAAGTGTGATAGGAGGTGATTTGTTGAGGGACTTCACGAACGGTCATTTTCAGAATAATCCCGATGACGCGCTGAAGGCTGCCATGATCTTAATTGTTCATTTTTTCTTGTTTGCACCCGACCCGAGGTCCGCTGTGCCACTTTGGTTTTATGTTGTTTTTGGGTTGAATATGTCTACACTGTGATCATTGAATAGTTGTTGAATTTGGGTGTAATTTGCATTATGTTGGGAATTTGGTAGACTGGCTCATGTTGTTGAATTTGTTGAACATTGAGTTTGTTGGTGAATTTGTTGAACATTGAGAAGGAAAAAAGCTCAGTTAACAAGGTGAATGTCCGATCTAGATGCTCCCTAAATCATGGATCTCGGCGGACCGTTGTATGATTGATCGCAAATGTGAAGTACTAAGAAAATTACTCCTAAAAACTCCTAAAAGAAAGAAGAACTAAGAACAAAAAGAAACACGAAAAATAAGAAATCACAAAAAAAAATGAATAAATAAGTGGAGGGTCGCGGCCGCGGAGATTCTATAGCCGCGGCCGCGGTGAAGTAATTTGGGTTGAGATATGGCATTTCTGTCCAAAAATGTCGAGGCCTCGGAGGTTTTCCGCGGCCGCGGTTATTGGTCGCGGCCGCGGATGTTTTCATCACCGCAGCTGCGGCGAGTATTTTGGTCCCAACACCCAGTTTCTGTCTAAAAATCACGCGGCCTCGGGGTATTTCGCAGTTGCGGCTAACAAATAGTTACGCAGCCTCTAGAGACGTCGCCGCGGGGGTCTGGAATTAAAGAGCCCATCGAACAGATTTTCGACATTCTTCACTTCACCAAAATCAACAACACACAACCTGCGATTCTCAATCTCTCCCTCTCAAGCATCGAACATCACCTGTCATCTCAAGAAAATAGGTTTCTTGAGCAGAAAACAAGTTTCTTGCTCAAGAAATTGGTTTCTTGAGCAAGAAACTGGTTTCTTGAGCAAGAAACTTGTTTCTTATGCAAGAAACCGGTTTATTTAATATGAATGTTTGTGTTGAGATCGCTATGAGTAACTAAATTATCTATCGTTCGGGTTCGAAGTTTGCGCCATGTAGTTTCTTGAGCAGAAAACATGTTTCTTGCTCAAGAAACAAATTTCTTGAGCAAGAAACATGTTACTTGTGCAAGAAACCGATTTCTTTAATATGAATGTTTGTGTTGAGATCGCTATGAGTAACTAAATTATCTATCGTTCGGGTTCGAAGTTTGCGCCATGTTGTTTCTTGAGCAGAAAACATGTTTCTTGCTCAAGAAACCAGTTTCTTGAGCCAGAAACCAGTTTCTTGAGCAAGAAACCGGTTTGTTTAATATGAATGTTTGTGTTGGGATCGCTATGAGTAACTAATCTATCGTTTGGGTTCGAAGTTTGCGCCATGTTGTTTCTTAAGCAGAAAACAGGTTTCTCAAGAAATCAGTTTCTTGCTCAAGAAATTGGTTTCTTCAATAGAAACTGGTTTCTTGAGCAAGAAACTGATTTCTTGAGACCCAAACTGGTTTTGGGACCCAACGTTCCCTCTTCATCCACTCATCCACAGTGAAAGTTCTTTTGCTTCTTGCAAATTTTTGGGGACTGTAAAATGCTACTCCTATTTAATGTTTTTTGTTTGTTTTGATTGTTTTGATGTTTATGAAAATGTGATGAGTTGAATTCAATGTTAGTTTTTGTTTCTTTTGATGGTTTTGATGGTTATGAAACATGTGGTGGTTTCGATTGTTTTGATGGTTTTGATGGTTATGAACATGTGATGGTTATGTTGAATTCAACTAGAGAAAAAATGGCCATAATGAAATTTTAGAGTTCGGGTGAAAATTATTAATTTGCTCGGAAATAAAGTACCTTTTTGGTTGAGAAATAAATTTTCAACTCCGGTTGATGTTCCAACCGCGATTGGCCGAGAGAGTACCTGAACCGCGACTGGGAGTTCAACCGCAGCTCAAGATTGTCCTTGCTAGGTTAAAAATTCAAAATATCATTCACAGTCAGTTGACTTCTCAACCGCGGTTGGCCGAGAGAGTACCTTAACCGCGGTTGGAAGTTCAACCGCGGCTCAAGATTGTCCTTGCTAGGTTGAAAGTTCAAAATATCAGTCACAGCCGGTTGACTTCCCAACCGCGGTTGGCCGAGAGAGTACCTCAACCGCGGTTCAAGATTGTCCTTGCTAGGTTTCTTGTTCAAAATATCATTCGCAGCCGGTTCACTTCCCAACCGCGGTTGGCCGAGAGAGTACCTCAACCGCGGCTCGAAGTTCAACCGCGGCTGAAGACAGGTTTGAGCAAGAAACTGTTTTTTTTTTTCTTTTATGATTTCTTCTTTTTCGTGTTTCTTTTTGTTTCGTTTTCACTTCAACTTTCATTCATCTTAAAAATAACTACAACAAATATAACAAAACTACACACATCAATATGTCCCACAAAGTTATTACATTAACCACACACAAATCAATCATACAAATAACAACCCAATTATGTCTTGCCACAAAGAAAACATTCATTTACGATCAATAAAAAACAACAAATAAATGAAAAAAAAAAATCATATAAACTAGGTAATGTCATGAACTCTGTTTATGAAAGCTTCATATGATGAGGTCCTAAGACAGAAAAAATTCATCTATGTCTCACCATTTTTGTACACATTATCATCCCAAAAGCCACTGTGAAATATTCACACTTTACCAACATCCATCTGAATAAATAAATAAATAAACAAATAAATAGATAAAATCTTAGTACAAATACTTTCTTCACCTTTTCTTTACCTTCAAATGTGTTTGGACAAAAATATATATGAATACAAAACACGTTGTCTTGTTCAAGAAACAGTTATTTCTTCAAGAAACAGTTTTTTCGCGCAAGAAACCGGTTTCTTGGAAAGAAACTAATTTTTTGGCAAGAAACTGGTTTCTTTAACAAGAAACTGGTTTCTTGAACAATAAACTAGCTTCTTGTTCAAGAAACCCGTTTTGTGCTCAAGAAACCAGTTTCTTCACCAACAAATTGTGGTTTTGTTCAATAAATTATTTTTTGTTCAAGAAATTGTTCATCTACTCCAAAAAAAATTGGCTCAAGTAACAATACAACCAAACTCATGAACTCCAAAACACAACCCTTTTTTTAAAGCACAAAACCCTTTTTTTTTTAACTCCAAAAAAAATATGAGTTCAACAAAATAAAATGTTACTAAACAAATCAATAATTTTGGGAACAAAAATAATGAATGTGTTAAAAAAAATTTATTTAACATAATTTTAAAAAAAAAAATTAGCTTTATGTTCATGTACCTTTTTTCTTCTCAAAAAGGGATTCACTTGGTGATGTTGGAGATGATATTTGAAAAGAGATCACTTTTAAGTGACTTTTGGGAAGATGAGATTTTTTTTTTTGTTTACATAGAGCTGCGCAGAACGAGAGAATGGAGGAGAGAAAGAGATGACGTCGCGACAATGGAGGAGAGAAAGAGACTTTTTTTTAATATGTTTCGTAAAACATTAATAAGGATACAATGGTACTTTTGCCTATAAAAATGGCTAGATTTCATCTTTTTTAGAAAGATGGCTATATTTCATCTTCCGCTTAAAAAAAGTACTATAAATCGCTGACTCTGTTTGGTCTATGTTATGGGTTTATGTATTAATTAATAATTATGCTACCGCAGTGTATTTGTAGTACTTATTGGTCCCCACCCCCACACAAGGTACTTGGTTTATTAAGTTATATAAACCAAGCAACTCTCCTTCGAACTTGCAAAACTGATCCATATTCTACAACTTTTAAGAGAAAAAAAAAAACAATAATAAAGAAGAAGAAAAATGCATCCACTCATCCTCATCCTTTTCTTCTTTTGCACTGGTGGTCAAACCCTCAGTAACGGCACAACAACCTTCACTGTTTTGCTGGCCGGCCAAAGCAACATGGCCGGTCGAGGCGGCGTGGAAGGCGGCGTCTGGGACCTCTTCGTCCCACCCGAGTCCCTTCCGGCCATCCCGGACTCTGTTATCCGACTGACTCCTGAGCTCAAGTGGGAGCCCGCTGCCGAGCCTCTCCACCGCGGCATCGACACCACTGTCGAGCAAGGCCACCTCGGCATCGGCCCCGGTTTGCCGTTCGCCACTGCCCTTCTCCGACGAGTCGACCCCTCCAACACCGGCGCTGCCACCGTGGCCCTCGTCCCGGCCGCCATGGGAGGCTCCAACATCCTCCAATGGCAACACGGCAACAACAGCTACTACCTCAACCTGCTTGCGCGGGCCGAGTGTTGGGTTCGCTATACCGCACGGGTTCAAACGCAGCGGAAATAAAACAAAATAAATAAGCACTTATCGAATAAATACTAAACCCGTCGGCTCACGTAGCGATTGTATCGATTAGCATCTTTTAAAATCACGTAATA